CAAATAAATAAATAAAATCTTTAAAAAAAAAAAAACTTAAAAAAAATAACAATTATAGAGTTGGAGAAGATATTTGCAACACACATTACTGACAATATCAAGGCTACGTAAAGAATTTGTATAGATTAACAACAAAAAGGAACAACAATTAGAAAAATGTGCAAAATATTTGAATAGACACTTCACAGGAGACAAATCAAAAATGGTTCATAAACACATGAAAATATGCTCAAGCTCATTAATATTAGCTAAATGCAAATTAAAGCCATAATTATACACCCACCAGATTGATAAAAATGAAAAAAAAATCTGACGATACCAAGTGTCAGCAACAATGTGGAACCAAGGGAACTCTCTTTTATTGCTGTTGGGAGTGTAAACTGGAACAACAAAATTCCTGGAAGACAGTGAAGGTTCCCGATGCCCTAGAACCCAGGGGTCAGACTCCCGGGTACATACCCTAGAGAAACTCGTGCACGCGTGCATCAGAAACACGAATAAGACTGTTGCTAGCAGCATTGTCTGGACTTGCCCCAAATTGGAAACAAACCAAATGTCCATCTACAATAAAATAAAATCCGTGAACTATGATACAGTTATATATAACGGAACAGTTTTCGGCAATGAACTTGAACAAACTAGAGCTAAGCCCAGCAATGCGGACGCATCTCAAAGACATCATGGGCAAAAGAAGCCAGCTGTCAAAGCTTTCATCTGCATGATTCCATTCACATAAAATACAAAAACAGGAAACCACCGTGATGGATGTATAATTGAGTGGTGAAAGCTTTATAGCAGAATAAGAACGCGAGCCTCCCCAAAGCCAGGGCAGGGGTTGCTGCAGAGACCAGGAGGGGCGGAGCTGTGATGGGGAGGGCACACTGGTGCTGGAGAGACTACCTCTTGATGGGATCATAAATATGTTCACCTCATAGCAATTTGTTAGGCTGCACATTTGTGTTTTGCTCATTTTTCCAAATGCGTGTTTTGCTCTACGGGAAATCAAAGGAAAAAGGAGTATGCTTCAGCTCTGAGCAGCTCAGAGTGTGGCCAGAGGTGAAGCCGGAGGGTGATGCAGGGGCAGCTGTTAGGCAGCCTCTAAGGATTCATGAGGAGCAAAGGAAGGTCTGAAGGAAGTGGATATGTTTGGGGTCTGCCCTGTGTCTCAAGACTTTCCCTCTGGTGGGAGTGTGCTAGAAGGTAGCCTAATGGGAGACGGCCACTTCCAACCATCTTCAAGGGTCACTGTCCCCCTGGACTGGAGCCTTCCCTGAGGTCCCCCATCAGGCAGTCTTTTCCAGGGGGAGGGATAGAGCATGCAGGCAGAGACAGGGAACTGGATGTGGCAAGCTGCCCAGTGGGGGGCTTGGTGCCACTGGGTCACAGCCAGAGACAGAGGCCCTCCTCCCCTCACTGCCCTCCTCTAGAGACACACGGATTAGCTGTAAGCACCAGCTCTGCCCTGTATTCCCTGTGTGTCCTCCAGGCCTCCCTTCCTGAGGCCAGTCCCGGTGGGCACTGGGCAAGAAGCCCCTCGACCCCAGGCTGCTGCCTTTTCTTCCCTGATGCCCTGCCCGCGCCACCAATCCCGCCAGGGGTGCAGGGAGAGCCTCCTTGGACCAGCAGGGGGCGTCCCCCCAATGTGACCCACAGTTGGGGCAGGGACGTGGAGCCACTCAGGACTTGTTTTTGTTTTGTTTAAGATTTATTTTTTTTTAGGGGCGCCTGGGTGGCTCAGATGGTTAAGTGTCTGCCTTCGGCTCAGGTCATGATCCCGGGGTCCTGGGATCGAGCCCCGCACCGGGCTCCCTGCTTGGTGGGAAGCCTTCTTCTCCCTCTCCCTCTGCCTGCTGCTTCCCCTGCTTGTACACTCTCTCTCTGTGTCAAAAATAAATAAAATCTTTTTAAAAAAATAAAGATTTTATTTATTTATTTGAGAAAGAATGAGAGC